GATGCGTTCTGGAAGTATTTGAATGTTTCTTCGAGTTCAGTTGCTTTCGTTATGTTTCAAAGCTGTTGAATGCCCGGCTCTTTTGCCCTAGGATGTACTAAACTGTAAAATGAGTTTTGTTACCGGAACCATATCTCACGGTAGCTGGATATATGTCTAGACTCAAGGCAGCAGTTCTTATGTCCACTTACCTTAAAGTCTGATTGTTCGATGCTTGAAAATCGAAAAACTATATATTGATTTTCTATTACATCAACAAAATAGGGTTCTCAACTTTATTTATCAAATTTCTTTTTTTTTTTTTTTTTACTTTTTAGACAGGTCAGACGGTTGCAATCAAGAAAATTCGGCTTGGCAAACAAAAAGAGGGAGTAAATTTTACGGCTCTTCGAGAAATCAAGCTGCTTAAAGAGCTCAAAGATTCAAATATAATTGAGTTAATTGATGCATTCCCTCATAAAGAAAATTTGCATCTTGTTTTTGAATTTATGGAGACGGACCTTGAAGCTGTTATACGTGATCGAAATATATTTCTTTCCCCTGCTGACATAAAATCATACCTTCAGATGACGTTGAAAGGTCTTGCTTTTTGCCACAAGAAGTGGGTTTTACATAGGTATCAGAATTTTGATAATATTATTATTATTGTTGATGTTTAGTTCAACTTATTTAGCGTCTGAATACTGTGCTTTATGTTCCTTTTATAAGATGCATGCTTTTACTTTACAGGGATATGAAGCCAAATAATTTGTTGATAGGACCGAATGGTCAACTGAAACTTGCAGATTTTGGTTTGGCTAGGATATTTGGGAGTCCTGATCGTAGATATACTCACCAGGTATACTTCTCCCTCTTTTGCATTATTGATATATGCAGGTAAATATTTATTGCATTGGAGCCCTTTGACTCTAATTTGTTATGTGTAGTAACTGTTTCTTTTAAAGCTGGGAAAAGTAAATGACCTTGTTATGTATTAAAAACAGAGTTTTTTTTCAATCTAAAATGATACAGGCACAGAACCCATCTTCATTTTATGTGGCCAGATAATATTTCATCACTATACCTGAATTTCTGTTCATCTCAATCTTGACACATGTCTGTAATATTTGAAAATAGGTGTTTGCCCGATGGTACAGAGCACCTGAGCTATTGTTTGGCTCTAAGCAGTATGGTTCTGCAGTGGATGTTTGGGCAGCAGCTTGTATTTTTGCTGAACTACTACTTCGTAGACCTTTTCTTCAGGTAAGTTCACGTTTGCAACTATCAATGATTCTCTAATTTACACGATCATGGCAGATGTTTGGCCCATGAGGATCAAATTTATTCGTTTTCCCTTCTTCTGCTTGTGATGTTTAGACTTCACCATGTAAATTGTTTTAGTATAAACAATTTTTAATTAGTCTTTCATTCCTGCCGGTTTCTTGTTGGTACTCGAATTGGCATGCACAATACAATCTGTGTAGAGTCTATCAAGAATGGGCTGTAGAAACTTTTGTGTAGATGGTGTTGTTAGTATGTGTTACAGAAGTAACTTTCGTAGCTTGTAAGTTTAACAAACCCATATCTTCTGAACTTTGATATACCTACAGATGTTAATGTTTAGATTTTCATACTCTTCCGAGAGTCCTAAATGCTTAGTTTCTGACAATTTTATTCGGTTATAATTTTAAAGTTGCACTTGCATATTGTTAACTATGTAGAATAGATTTAAGTTCAGATTTGGGAATATAAACTTCCACTTGGATATTTGTTCTTGGATTTTTTGTATGACTATGAAAAATAGACTTCATGTTCAGATTTTGATTTCTTGTATTTCTTCAAATTTTTGAAGTTATTTTTATTTTTGACAGGGTTCGAGCGACATTGATCAATTAGGGAAGATCTTTGCAGCTTTTGGAACTCCGACAACTTCTCAGTGGTCTGATATGTTATACCTACCTGATTATGTGGAGTTCCAATATGTTCCTGCACCTCCTCTACGTTCATTGTTTCCTATGGCTAGTGATGACACGCTGGATCTCCTATCAAAGATGTTTGCTTATGATCCAAAGTCTAGAATTTCCATTCAGCAAGCATTGGAGCATAGGTTCCATTTTTGAAATATGAAAATATTATTTAGAAATCAAGAAATGTTTTGGATACATTGCTTACAGTATTTCCTTTCTAGGTACTTCACATCTGCACCACTTCCCACAGATCCTAGTAAGCTTCCAAGGCCTACTTCAAAGCGTGAACCTATGAACCCTAGAGTTTCAGACTTAAATTCAAATGAGGGTCCTACTGTCCTCTCACCTCCAAGAAAGTCAAGAAGAGTAATGCCAGAGCGTGAGGCTTTTGAAGGAAATGTATGTAGAGCTGATAAGCTTGATGACCATGGTAATGAGGTGCGAGAGGCAGCTGCTGGAAATACAAGCAAAAATGAAGCAGTGCCAATGTCGTTGGATTTTTCTATTTTTGGTGGAAAACCTCCAAATAGACCAACAATTAACAGGTAAAAAAATTTCTGCCACAATAAGTTTATTGTGTAAATTGCTGAACCAATTGTCTGCGTTAGCTTGAAAGTTGGTTTGAAATCCTGGTATAGAGAATGTATGGACCTTCTTGAATGTTATCTCATACACTGGGGCTAAACTGAGTTGAAGTTTGACATGTCGTCATGGATAGTAATCTTAAAAGTTCCCATTATCAGAAATGCGAATTTGATGTTTTAAGATGGTCTCACCCAGTTTTGTTTGTGTTTTAATCGGGACTACCTTTTTATCGTGCAATTTTCTTTTGGATGACTAGCTGCAATTTCAACCAAATGTACTTGGTCTGGTAGTTGTCTTAAGACTACTTAGGTTGTTTGCTTCAAGCCTTTCTCATGGGAAAGCATATAGGAATAGGTTTTTGGTCTGTATGAATGGTGCTTTATAATGGGCATCATATCAAGAACATATGTACTACCATTACTTAAATCTTAAAATTAATTTCTAATGTATTTAAGTGAGTAATTAATTAAATAAATGGTGCTAAATTAGTTGATGAATCAAAGACCACAGAGAGGACCAATACAGTTTTTATAATAATCATTTTTTATTTTTTATTATTTCATAGAACATTTAATTATGAACATGGTCTTCATGACACCTAGAATCTTGAATAATTTGTGTTTCCCCCGTTCTTTTGCAGTGCTGACCGATCACATCTTAAAAGGAAATTAGATCTTGAATTCCAGCAATAAGGAGATTCTGTATCAGTGTACTGCAATATGAAATCAGCCTTTCAATTGAACTCTAGCCTGCATTTATGAGGTACAACGTCTTTGGAGTTTGTTCGAACTTGAATTATCCTAGAAAAGGAACTTTGATCTTGTAACCTCTGATAGTTTCCACCCCCCCGTTTCTTTTCCCAGCTAGTTAGTTTTTTGAAAAACGCGAGTGTTTTCCTCAATTGAATAACTCTGTTAATAATATACATTTTGTTTTAATATTCAGATCGGTTCAATAATTCTGATGTCGGATATTCAGTGTTCACTCTCTAGTCTGCTTAGTTAAAGGAATCTTGCTGAATATCCTCACGTGCTTGCTCTTTGGTTGTTTCTAGGGCAAACTGTGGAATTACTTCCAAGTAAAGACTGCCGGATCGTTTATCTTTTATCCTCATATCCCCTCGAGCGACTGATAAATTATAACGGTGTTTCATTTTGTAATTTTCACATATAGCTAATTGAAGTTGATTCATTTGATCCCTTATCGATATATTTGATAGCTCTCCCTTGAACCATTTCTGCTACAGTTCGGTCTTGGAAGTGTAACACTGACAGCTTCAAGGAAGCACTATTCAGTACACAGTAACAAAATGAAATAAAAATGATACATTGTGCAAGGCTTCCCTGATTTTTTCTTCAATCATGCAGCGTTGTTGTTATTGTCTAGTTTTGTTTGTCCTGGATCTCGTGTCCAATCAAGATGGAGAGCCCTGCCTTGATCCACCAAAAGTAATACACAGAGAAATAGAGTGATAAACCTAGAAATTGTAGACAAGATGGAAAAAGAGATGCTTGAATGCACCTCTTATGAACTGGAGGAGGTGTATCCAAAGTTCGTGACAGACCCATCCGTGTTCAAGCAGTCCAATCATTCTCTTCCTTCTACAAATAACTTCTTCCAAGTACAGGTCCTTGAAGGTACGCAAATATAGTTGACCATTTTCTTTAATGTTTTAAACCATGAGTCCGCATCATATTAGTATGGTAGGGTGTGAATCTAGCCCACTTTGGACTTGAACCTTTATAGTTCGACATTGGATTCTAGGAGTGTTTTTGAAAATATCAAAAGCACTTTTGTTGGGAGAGATTTAGTTTGTAGTAGGTCCTGTTTCTTTCTTTTATCTTCATTAGATTCTTCCTTCTCAATGGGTAAGTGTGATGAAGTCAATTCTGACCACCATTTTCACCTGAATTTGGAAGAACTATTCTACTTCAACACATTCCCGCAAGTACCACTGTGAAAACTCAGTCATACACGAGGAAGAAACACTGGTACTTATCCTTCAGTTTCATCACTTCATTTTACAAGCTTTCCTGCTAAACAAATGAAGTAAAACAACATTTCAAGTGACGTTGGGAGCCAAGAGATTTTCATTTTTGGCTAGGTCTCAACTAATACATATTTCTTCTAGGCACCTTTGGAATTTGAAAGAAACAATAGGCAGAGGTTGCTTACCCTGTTATTGTCAAGCAGGCTCCATAATTCTGTGAGATTCCCATTTGTTTTTTCTCCTTCCCATTATTATTATTACAATTCAGACTCATGCACAGCACCAAGTGTCCCAGTCTGGGGACGTGCCTTAACTTGAGAAATAACCACAATGGTGACAAATTTCAAAAGTAGTATTTCTAGATTAATCTGTTTGGTCATTAGTAGTTGCTCCTTTTTTCTGTTTAGAAACATGGGTAAAGGTTTATCTCCTGTACTGGTATGAATTGAGACCTCCGCATGATCTTTGAATACAGAGGATGATGAAGTTATAGTGGGTCAATCTGACTCGTAATTTAATTGGAGATCCAAAATCTAATTGAATCAAGTTCAGAACAGTTGAGGAATACTTACGACTTTCCAAAAATCGTCAAAAGCTTTTAACAATGAGTCATATTGTACAATTTGTTGATTTTCAAAGGCAAAGAGATTAATGACAAAGCTTCTCCACCCAAAAGAGCTTTAGTTTCATGCGATGACGTTCGTTGGAATGACTGACTCGTACACTCGTTCTGCAGCTATCTTTGCCTGAATATGACGAAAGAACGCATTAGGAATGTCAAATTTTAAGGGTATCGAGTAACGTTGATTATTTAAGATTCGAGTTTAGAGCTGTACTTCTTCGTCCCAGTTGGTGCGGATGGTAATGATAGCAAGAGAAAGTGTTTGGACAGCAAGTGCACAGATGATGCCTAACCACAGCCCCTATTGAGCATCATTTTCAAGAGAAAAAGGTTAAAAAATGGATTCCTAATAACTATAGGACATGATGTAAAATGGTGAGCATGAAGAGTGGAGAACATTAAGATTAACACTTTTACCTTTCCATCAATGTGCAAGACAAAAGCAAGCAAAACTGCAGACGGAATACCCACAAGATAATACGATCCAAGATTGACATATGCCCCAATTTTCTGCCAACCACATCCTCTAACAATGCCTGCATTTTATTTAAAGCACATACACACAGATTCTTCAAATGCCAATACTTTATGCAGGTGAAATGTGGTTAGATCACAATGGACAGGAAAATATCGTACATACAAAAGTATCAAGTTATCTTATTGCCAACTCTTTATCAAAGTTTACCTTAAAAAGTCCAATATTCTATAAAATTCCTCAATTCATTTTCATTTCACGTTTAGTACTCAACTGGAAAATGTCATCTAGACAACTTGGTCTGATCTTTGAAGGATTATGAAGTACCTGAAAGAACACACTGAAGTCCATCGAAAAAAGTGGACACTGCAATTATGGGAACTATATCCGCAACATATTTGACCACTTCTTGTTCATTGCTATATGCATAACCCCAAACATTTCGTATAAGAATCAAGACAGTCCCAAGCAGTAGTCCCTCAATAACGGCTATTGTCATAACTAGACACGCTGCTAGCTTTGCACCTGCAGGACGGCCAGCTCCCAGTTCATTTGAAACTCGCGTGCTTACAAAATGAAGTAGAGACAGTAATCTTAGTTAAATTTGAATTCTATCCATACTTATAAAAGAACAACAAGGTTCTCAATTTCCCAATTCAGGCAAGATGGAGAAAGACACATGAAAGTGAAAATTTTTAAGTTATCAGTAGAGAGGACAGAGATTCTTATGAGAAAGAGTGGCAAAATTTACCTAGCAGCAGCACTCAGACCCATTGGTATCATCCAAACGGTTAAATCTGTATTAAGGCTGGTAAAGAAACATGTTGGACAAGCTAGAGGTGGTTGGATATAACAAAAGAAAATAACATTGCTCCTGAAGAACTGATGTCTCTGTTTATACCTAATAGAAAGCACTGATGTCTCTAATTTTGGATTTGGTAGAAGTCCAGACAGAAGAACCACCATCTCGAATGACCACAGTTCCAAGCTGTTGAAAATCTTTTTGAACATTTTGAGAGAACTGCATCTTTGTGATTATGATAAAAGGAGAAACAGTAAAAGTGAGCATTACCAAACCATGACAGTTGAAGGGATTGCAAGTTTAAGGAAATACGAGATGTTGTGAAATGCCTGCGCTGAAAAGCCAGTCCAAGACTCTGAACATGAAGAAGAAAACTTAACATAAAGTATCAATATCAATGCATTGATCCAATAAGAAATGGAGTTTGCCAAAGCAGCTCCTCGAGTTTCAAGCCCAGCTTTGAATATCATAACCCAACAGAGGGCAATGTGAAGCAAAGCTGCTATTCCAGAACTCATCATCATTGGGAAAACAATGTTTTGGGTCTGTAAAAATCGGTTCAGGCACTGAACAAGACCATGAGCAAAAAGGCATGGAATCAAGCATTTAGCATATTTCCCAGCTTCTGCTGAAATTTGAGCATCTTGGCCAAGTAATTTCAGGATTTCTCCTGTGTTAGCCCAGATGACTGCAAGAGGTATGCTCACAAGTGAAAGAACAAACATTGCTCTTTGCATATAGATGCCCAACATGTGGTACTGCTTTGCTCCATAAGATTGGCCACAAAACGTATCCAGAGCACTAGCCATCCCCATCTAGACATGTATTTCAATCAAGACCATTTGAAGTATTTCAATCAAACCATGATCGAATATCTGTTATATATGGGAACAGAAATTGCAGATTCCTAAACCAACAAAATCACAGTCTCTTCGTTCGTTCTAGGATGCTAACTAATAACAAATTATTGTCTAATGTGTTCTAAAATCAGACAGGTTACTAAGAAGATGTAATTTTCCCGAGAAACAAACAGAAAATCAACTCACCAAGACGGTGAAACCAGTCACCGATGTAAAAGAAACGGCCATGGAAGCACCGGAGAGAGGCAATTCGCCGAGATGACCCACAAACATGATGGAAATCATCTGCAAACAGTATTGCAGAAAACTGACCGATATGAGAGGTCCTGCTAGCCATAGCTGCTTCTTTACTTCCTCGGCTATTAGTTTTCTTGAGAAATTGTTATCATCTACTAGTCCCCCGTCTTTCAGATTCACTTCATCTTCAGATATGTGAATTAGGGGCGACTTCAACCACGACTCCTGATCTCTCTCCATTATTTCTCTGCTCACAGAAATGGAGAGAGGAAGGGAAGTCAAGATGAAGCTTCCATATAAACCATGAAATGTGTAAATTTTGGATGAAGCTTATTATTATTTTTATTTTATATATATATATATTTTGTATTTTTCACTTGTAATATGTATGTCAAAATTAAACCTTTTTAGCTTTTTCGGAATTATTATTAAACAAATATAATTTTTAAATATAAAATCGTGAATAACTAATTGATATATGTAAGATCTCACAGAAGAAAACTAAACATTTATTTATAAAAGTGTAAGAATCTCTCTTATTGTACGCAGGTTCATAATGAGCCAAAACGGATAACATCTACTAGCAGTGAGTTTGGGCTTTCACAAACTGTATCAGAGCCAAATATCGAGTTGTGTGTTAGTGAAGCACTGGCCCACTCAAGAGAGTAGATTGTGAGGACGCTAGTCCACCCAAGAAGGTGGATTGTGAGGATGCTAGGGCACCCAAGATGGCGAATTGTGAGATGACCGGTCTAAGAGGATTGATCGTGAGATCTCACATCGATTGAATAGAAGAACGAACCATTTCTTATAAGAATGTGGAATACTATCAACGGACTTTTTGTTAACAAAAATTTTATATTTCATTCGAGAATCAATTTACACTCCGCATTAATTTCGTTTGAAGAATATTGATTTATACATGTAAAGAGGTCTCAACTGGGGATGAACAGACACCTTTCCCAATAAAATCAGCCCCACATGTATGTAGACATCTTTAAAAGAATCTAATAATTGATTGCAACCAATTATTTGAAGATCTTCATTTTAAAGTATATTTTTTGTTTTTTTTTATGTTTGGTCTGTTCAGTAACATTTTGATCAAATCCGTGATTCAACTTTTAAATTATATAAAATAGGTTAAAAAGTTTTAAATTTATATTTAATAGACTATCACCCGTTTAAGATCCACACTAAAACTCGAAAATCGACTTGGAACATAACCCCGACATTCCAATGGTCAAAAACTACATAGTCTTGTCCCAAATAGCTTATGAAGGTGAAAATTGGCCTTACAAATCAACCCAAGTTTTTTTCACGGCTTTTCTTTTGATGGATTCACATACTCTAGCAAAAGGAGACATTAAATGTAACAACTCAAGCCTACCACTAGCAGATATTGTCTGTTTTGACCCGTTACGTACCACTATCAGCCTCACGGTTTTAAAACGTCTCTTGGAGAGAGGTTTTTGCATCTTTATAAGGAATGTTTTGTTTCCTCTCACCTTTGTGAGATCTCACACTATAGACAGGCAAACATTCTTGGCAGTGGACTTGAGGAGTTCAAAGCCTATAGTTATAACCCAACAAAAATGATCCTCAAAGATTTCTATCAACCTATTGATCATAAAGAAAGTGAAATACTGAATTCAAATATAATTGCACATAATATCTACAGAGAGATCGAGTTCAAGTGAACTCAGCTACTTATTTTTCAGGAGTCTATGTTGCAAAATTGAAACTTTTAGGCTCGACTTCCACAATCCAACAAATCAAATCACAAAACTTTTCGACCAAGAAACTCGAGTTTCAAGAGACAACGTTCACTGGGATTACAGTGTCATACACACGTTCTGTAGCTATCTTTGCCTGCATAGAACAGAGGAATACATTAAGATTTGATATTTAGAGGAAGGGAGCAAAGTTGAGATTTGAGTATAGGAAGTGTACTTCTTGGTCCCAGTTGGTGCGGATGGTAATGATAGCAAGAGAAAGTGCTTGGACAATGAGTGCACAAATGATGCCTAACCACAGCCCCTGTTAAGGATCAAAAGGTTAAACATTTAAGGTGAGTAAGAATTATAGGACATATGAGTGAAGACCATCATCAGCATGATTATCAGTTTTACCCTTCCACCAATGTGCAAAACAAAAGCAAGCAAAACTGCAGATGGAATTCCCACAATATAATATGATCCAAGATTCACGTATGCACCAATCTTCTGCCAACCACATCCTCTAGCAATGCCTGCATTGTATTTATGCACATCCAACCATCATCATTTAAAATAACGTCAATTTGAGGTAGAAAAATTGTAACAGTTCAAGTTCACCGCTATCAGATATTGTCTTTTTTGGACTTTTCCTTTCGGATTTCCCTTCAAAAATTTTAAAACACGTCTACTAGAGAAAGGTTTTCACACCCTTATAAAGAATACATCGTTCCCCTCTCTAACAAATGTGGGATCTCACAATCCACTCTCCTTCAGGGCCCAGCGTCCTTGTTGACACTCGTTCCTCTCTCAATCAATGTGGGATCTCACAATCCACTCTCTTTCGATGCCCAGCGTCCTCGCTAGCACATCGCCTGGTGTCTGGCTCTGATACCAACTATAAAGAATCATTATTTATAAGGTTATAGATTGTGAGATCCCACATCGGTTGGAGAGGAACGAAATATTATTTATAAGGGTGTGGAAACCTTTTCCTAGCGGACACGTTTAAAAAACCTTGAGGGAAAGTCCAAAGAAGACAATATTTGTTAGCGGTGGGTTTGCTACCATAGCAGACGATAAAAATGTAAACCTGAAAGGACGCATTGAAGTCCATCAACAAAATTGGAAGCTGCAACTAAAGGAAGCATGTTGGCTACATATTCGACCACTTCTCGTTCGTTGCTATAAGCATAGCCCCAAACAGTACGTATAAGAATTAAGACAATTCCAAGCAGTAGCCCCTCAATAATGGCTATTGTCATAACTACTTTCCCAGCAAGCTTTGCTGCTGCAGGATGGCCAGCTCCTAGTTCATTTGAGACTCGCGTGCTTACAAAATCAAATTAAAACATATAAATCTCATATCCATCTGTACTCTTTCTATTTTCGTCACCTAAGTTTTTTCGGTTCCAAATCCAGGCATGCGAAATCCTACATCAGTTGGAGAAGGGAAACAAAGCATTTCTGGTAAGGAGGTGGAAACCTCTCTCTAGCAAATGTGTTTTAAAATCGTGAGGCCGACGGCGAAACGTGACGGGCTAAAGCGAACAGTATCTACTAGTAGTGAGCTTAGGCTCTAGCAGATATTGTCTACTTTGACCCGTTACGTATCGCCGTCAGCCTCACGGTTTTAAAACGCGTCTGCTAGGAAGAGGTTTCCACACTCTAACAAGGAATGTTTCGTTTCCCTCTCCAACGACGTGGGATCTCACAAGCAAGACAGAAGAAGAACAAGTGAAAGTGAATCAATTTTACCTTCCTGCACCACTCAAACCAAATGGGATCATCCAAACTGTTGCAGCTGTATTAAGACTGGTAAAGTAGTGTGTCAGTGAAGCTAGAGATAGCTAAATACTAAGAAACAAGAACTGATGTCTGTCATTTACCTGATTGAAAGCACTGATGTCTCTAATTTTGGATTTGGTAGAAGCCCAGAAAGAAGAACCATCATCTCAAATGACCACATTTCCAAGCTGTTCAACATTTTTTTGTAAGACACATGAAACCTAATGATTATGATAAAAAGAGTCATAGTAAAGGGAGACTTACCAAACCATACAAGCCGAAGGAATTGCAAGTTTAAGGAAATATGGGATATTGTGAAAAGCCTGCACTGAAAACCCACTCCAAGAATTCGAACAAGAAGAAGAAAACTTAACATAAAGTGTTAATATCAACACATTGAGCCAATAAGAGATGGAGTTAGCCACAGCAGCTCCTCGAATTTCAAGTCCAACTTTGAATATCAGAACCCAACATATGGGGATATGAAGCAAAGCAGCTATTCCAGAGCTCATAACCATTGGGAAAACAACATTTTGGGTCTGTAAGAATCTATTAAGGCATTGAAGAAGACCATAAGCGAAAAGGCTTGGTATCATACTAATAGCATATTTCCCAGCTTCTGCTGAAATTTCAGGATCTTGACCAAGCAATTTCAGGATTTCTCCTGTGTTAGCCCAGATGACTGCAAGAGGTATACTCACAAGTAAAAGAACAACCATTGCTCTTTGCATATGAATGCCCAGCATATGATACTGCTTTGCTCCATAAGATTGGCCACAAAATGTATCCAGAGCACTAGCCATACCCACCTAAGATACATTCAAATCCAGACCATTTTAAGTAACATAACTAGTTTTGAATATCCAGCAAGAAAGTGAGATTTTCTCGAGAAACAAACAGAAACCCAACTCACCAACAAGCTGAAACCAGTGACTGAAGCAAAAGAAGTCGCCATTGAAGCACCGGAGAGGGGCAGCTCGCCAAGATGACCCACAAACATGACGGATATCATCTGCAAACAGTATTGTAAAAGACTGACCAAAATCAGCGGCCCTGCAAGCCATAGCTGCTTCTTTACTTCCTCTGCTATGAGCTTCCTTCTCTCGCCATTTGAATCCAACCCATCTTCAGAAATGTGAAGAAGGGCTGATTTCAACGAGGAGTTTGAATCTTTCTCCATGATTTCTTGAGTTGCAGAGAAGAACAGAGGACTGGACCAGATGGCTGCATACAAACATACGACGAAACGAGGAAGAGGTGGAAAATTTCGAGATGGCTTCCTCAAACGTTGAATGATGAATGGTTGTATATTTAACTGTTACTGTCAAATGTGAGCACTTGCATTAAAGATTTTTGTTAAATAATTTTTATAGTTCATCGCTTCTATGTTATGAATGTCTGTCTATTTTTTATTCATTGAACAATATAGAAGTTCTCGATTAGAAGAATGTTGATTTGATTATAATTTATTTATTGAAAATGATATGTTAAATTTTGTTGAAGAAAAAAAAAGTATTAAAAAAATAGACTTGGAAAGTAATTCATTTAAATTATGAAATAATGCAGAGAGTCTGCTATATATATATTTTAAAATATTGATCAACTTAACCTTACTGTGTGTCTCATTAGTCAAAGAAAAGGAAAGAAATGTGACTGGGTTACTTGGGCATCACGTCTTGAGTTTAAGCCCTCACATTTCATAGTAATTACCAAGGTTGCCACTTCAAAAACTTTTATTTTATTTCTACTACATTTATTATTATTATTTCTTTTAAATATACTAAATTACAAAAGCTAAGGGAATGATATTTTTTA